CTATTTGATGAAGCCAGAATCTACTCCCACCAGAATTACTACGATAGTCTCCTCTCTCTCGGACTCCGCTTCCACTTTGCCCTCTGTCCTCCAGTCTCTTATCAACACAGCAGCCAAAGAACCAGGGGCTCATGCCTGTAATCCCAGTGCTTCAGGAGGCAGGAGGATTGCTTAAGCCTGGGAGATGGAAGCTGAGTGAGCTATGATTGCACCACTGCACTCCAGCCTGGGTGATCACATGAGACTCTGTGTCTGAATAAGAAAGTCAGTTCATGCTATGCCTTGGCTCAAAATCCTTCAGTGTCTTCCCATTTCTAGCAGTTTCCTTTTGCTGAAGCAGTGGCTAAAAACAACAGAAATCTCGCTCTCACTGTTCTAGAGTGCACAAGTCCACAAACAGGATTTTATGGAGCTACAACTGAGGTGCCAATAGGGCTGCATTCCTTCTGGAGGATTCAGGGTTGGGGGGTTGGAATCCGGCTACGCGCCTTTCCGGTTTTTGGAGGCTGCCTATACTTCTCGGCTTGTGGCCCCTTCCACGAGTGACTCCAGCCTCTTGCTCCTGTTACCACGTCTTTTACTCCTACCTCTGGCCCTCCTTCCTGCTAGGATTATACTGGGCTCACCTGGGCAATCCAGGATAATCTCCCCATTTCAAGATTCCAAAGCCCACAGGCAAAGTCTCTTTCGTGACATAAGGTAACAAGTTTTCATATTCTGGTGATTAAGATGGGAGCATCTAGGGCGGTGCCCATGTCACAGGGTAAAAGTCCAAGTTCTGACAATGTCCTACTAGTTCCCACTTCCTACCTAAGCTCATTGCTTACAACTCTCTCCCCTTCACTCACTCTGATCCAGCTACACTGGCCTTGCTCTTCCTCAACACGGGCCCACCCAGGACCTTAGCACTTACTGTTCTCTCCATGAGGAGAGCACCCTTCTTCCTTTAAGTCTCTGCATAAAGGGCACCACCCTTGAGTGAAGGTTTCTGACATTACCCCTTCCCCAGCTGGGCACTCCCTTCCATGCTCAATATTTTCCCAGAGCTCCTAATACCACTTCTCTGTCATTCATAGTCTTGCTCTCTCTCTCTCTCTCTCTCTCTCTCTTCTGTCTTCTCCCACTAGAATATCAATAACAGGTGTTCTTGTCATAATCCCTAGCAAATACCAGGGGCTCAACAAACAGTTGCAGAATAAGTGAATCTTACTTTACTTGGACTCAAAGATCTGCCCTAAAGTAGGAACTTAACCTGAATGATAAATGAATGAATGAGAGACTCAACTTCCATCTCCTTTTTTATAGGTATATAGACGAATATGAAAGTAAGTGCTTTACTACTTAGGAACCTGACACAGCAGTTTAAGTAGCTTATTCAAGGCCACACAACAAAGGAAAAGTAAACAATCACATATTAAAACTCCAGCCAAGCCCCTGACTTTATTTTGCTATGTCCCTGCATGTTCTCAGACCTGACAAATTGGAACTCATCTGGATTCTCCTGCTTGGCTGAAATACCAGTACAAACAAGGTTACAAGTTAATAAACTCTGGATTTATTATGAGAGGAAATTTCACAGAAGTATCTAAAGCATTTGTGTATTCAGATACGTAAGAAATTAACATACAGGGAGGGATCCTCATCCGCATTTTTAAACGCCTCCAGAAGCAAACCTGCAGCATAAGTTTCGAGTGCATCGTCAACACCCAGCACCGCCCAACAGCCAGCCCGAGCAGTATCCAGATGGTCACCTCAGGTGTTGGGGACACAAAGAAACAAAAGACGTTCCCATCATGGGGCACATTTACTGAGGGCAGAGACACGGGGAAAATGCAACTGGCTTGGAATGGGACAGCAATTTGTCTTACAGAGGCCACCTCAGCTGCATTTCAGAAAGCGTTACGCAAGCCTTGCTCACACACCGGCAAAGCCCACTCAAACTCACCATTCCGCAACATCCCTCCGCCTGCCATTTCCAGAGGGTGTGCCAGGGTTGTGTTTTGTTCAAACTTGAAAACTGCATTTCTAGGAATCATCTTACCAGTGTATGGGTGGGAAAGAGGACCTCGCTGTGATCAGGAAGCCAGGGATCCCTCAGAGGAGGGACCACCAGATTCAAACCTCACCTCTGTGACTCACTCACTGTGTCCCCACAGACATGTCACCAACCAACCCTCTCTACCCCTCAATGTCCTTTCCTCACCCCTATAAAGTCCGCTTTTAATTCTTATGATAATTATAGGCGATATTGCAGCAAACACACTTATCACAGTGCCATGCCATTCAAGGCCTTATTACATACTGCCTATTATTATAATAGCTGTTACTAGAATAATATTAACTTAAAAAAAGTCATCATTCAAAAATAAATAGTACATTTGTTTTAATCTTGAGTTTAGCTTGTGACAGTGACTTCTATAGGTTTATCATTTACTTACAACTAAGCGCTTGTCTATAATCAGGAAAAACTGCTACCAGAAAAATGTTAAGAGTAAGATTTTCTACATATGGCTGGCAAAAATAAAGTCATTTAAAGCCTTCCCCCTCAATTCTATACCTGAATAAAAATATACATGATTTGTTAATGAAAAGCTTAACAGAAATGCTGAACAAATATGCCCTCATGTAGTATTTAAGTAAGATAAGCAAAATGAGTAAGATTTTAAAATATATACACAGGCATGTGTAGGTTCAACTCGGCATTTTTGTGGCAAATTACCATCTGATAAAATAATTGTTTAATCTAATATCCTACGTTGCCTCACCGCTTGAAAAATGAAACAAGATCAAATGACATCAAAACACACATTTATTTTTCTGTTTCTACTAACCATGCTAATCAAGGACACATGTCAGAGGCACTGAGTTTTACACCAAGTTACACAAGAATTCACCTCACACACAGAGATCCTGATTTAGTGGGTTGGGGAGGAGGCTATTTGACTCCTGCAGAAGCTCCCCAACTATTACTAATGCTGACATCTGTGGTTTTTAACCACTGTATGAGATCTTTTTTTCTTTTTCCTTTTTGATAACGTCTTGTTCTGTCCCCCAGGCTGGAGTACAGCGGCACGATCACGGCTCACTGCAGCTTTGACCTCCCAGGCTCAGGTGATCCTCCCATCTCAACCTCCTGAGTAGCTGGGAACAGGAATGCACCACCATGCCCAGCTCAGTTTTTGTACTTTTTGTACAGATGGGGTTTCACCACGTTGACCAGGCTGGGCTCAAACTCCTGGGCTCAAGTGATTCACCCACTTTGGGCTCCCAAGGTGCTGGGATGACAAGTGTGAGCCACCGCGCCCAGAGCAAGATCTCTCCTTTGACAACAAGTTTTTGCCTTGAAAATGTTTGCAAAAAGCGTTTCTTGAATCTGTCATTCTGCTCCCAGAGCAATGCTTGACTAACTTGCAACTCAATAAAGAGAAATGTTGAGTTGCTCCTCAGCCCTTAAAAAAATCATTAAATATCCTCTGGTCTTTTAATGCTAACAAGAGAGCTAAGGGAAATGGGATAAGAGGGGGTGGGGCTTTCCATTTGTTCCATGAAATCACGTGACTGCCTTCCCTTTAGACTAATATGGCTGCAGAATCCTCAGTGCTGATGGGCGTGTTCTGTATCTCTGTCTTCCTATGCGTAACCATTAGCCACATCAGTCGGCTGGTAACTTTCCTAACATCCTGCCATCTAAGGTCCTTGCTTCATTCATTCATTCAGTCAATGTTTTCTGAGCACCTAATGCACTCTAGGGAACAAAGGCAAAGACGCCCCTGCCCTTCTGGTGCTTGCATTCTAATTCCTAACAAATGGCCTCTTCCAACTGCCAGACTTGTTTAAAGAACTGCTTCCTGGCTGGGTGCGGTGGCTCAAGCCTGTAATCCCAGCACTTTCAGAGGCCTAGGCAGGCGCATCACCTGAGGTCATGAGTTTGAGACCAGCCTGACCAACATGAGAAACCCCGTCTCTACTAAAAATACAAAATTAGCCAGGCCTGGTGGTGAATGCCTGTAATCCCGGCTACTCAGAAGGCTGAGGCAGACAGCCGCTTGAACCCAGGAGGTGGACATTGTCCTGGGCTGAGATGGCACCACTGCACTCCCGCCTGGGCAACAAAAGCAAAATTCCATCTCAAAAAAAAAAAAAAAAATGAAGAACTGCTTCCTCAATGTGTTTCTTAAAAATGATGGTACTTTGGAGCAGAAAAGCAAATCACCAGTTTGAGAAAACAATGTGATTCAAAGGATTGAAGAAATTAGAGGCTTTAGAGGGTCTGCACGAGAAAAGGGAACTTCTGAACCTTTTGCAGTGAAATGAAGCAGCAGCAGCAGAATCACTGGCTTGGAGGTTATTTCTGGTGAGGAAATAACCTCCAGAGTATAACCCACTCTGGAAACAGGAATGACCTGGCAGAGGATTAGGATTCAGCAGCCAGGAGTAGGACCAAGGAACTCCCAGCAAGAACATATTTAACAACTGCTACTACAGATGGGATCAGGAGAGAGGCAAATTTACAAATGGCAGAGATATTAACACCTTCAAGTAGCCGTAACAACTACTTTAACTATTTGGTAAAAGTTTTCTAGGTCAGTAAAAAATTAAGGGGTTAAAAAGTAAAAGTGATGCTTAGATAAAGTTATTAATAACCAACCAAGACCCGGAAAGCTTACCCAGTTAGTCAATGAGGAGCTATGCACAGATAAGACTCTTACTACTAATCCCATGCTTTTTCCACTACCTCACGCAGGGAGCTGAGCGGGGTCATCTTTCATCAGCAGTTTCTAAGACACGGGACACTACAGCTGCAGAACACAGCATCGGGGAAGGTCAAACCTATAACCGCTGCACTCTGGTCAATGACAAATGGTTCTCAAACGATCAGAACTGGGTGCCTAGGTGGACAGTAGTTGCCAAGAAGAGGAGAGAGGCTGTTCAGAACTGCTACATTAGGATAACTGTTATTCATGAAACCCAGAACTAAGTTCATTCATCAGCAACCTTACCTAGTTCTGGGGGCAGAACGGTGAGGCGGTTCCCCTGAATGTGGAGCTCTTTAAGCTGGGTAAGCTCCCCGATTTCCTTAGGCAGCGAGATCAGGTCGTTATCCCTAAGGCTGAGCTAAACAGAAGAAAACAAGGAGTGGTCAACACATTTTCACATTAAAAGGTGCTCCACAGAAACTCACATCCTCTTCCATGTCCTCTCTTTCATGAAAGCGCAATCCTTTCCATCTATTTACAAGTGTCGGTGGAGAAACAAGAAACACTATCAGGGGTAGTGGTTTATTCCCGCAAAACAAACCTTACTCTGGCTCAAATTGACTTGATTCTACCCCTACAAGGCTGCAGCAGTGAATTGATTTTCTAAGAATTTAGATAAATTACTTACTATCTGCAACTTTGTGAGCTTCCCGATGTCTGGCGGCAGGATTTCAAAATCGTTGTCACTTAGATAGAGTGCACGCAGGGTGGCTGCAAATTAAACAGCAATATATAAACAGGGTGGCATGGAACCCAACCATTTGAGGTCTGATCAATAAGAGGGAGTCAGCTTTGATTAATAACCCTGGCTTGGTGAAAAGCCTTTGACATACCTAGGGCTCCCAATAATAACAAGCAGGTCACACTTAGATTTACTGGCTTATTGTGTAGCCGGTGTGTCCAGGAAAACATCTATATCCAAGAGGACTGATGCAATTAACAACTGTGGGCACTCGCATTTTGGGGCAAAGAGTTTCACCGCATTTTCAGAGAAGACTGCTATTTTTTCTCATAGATTACTTTTGATTCCCATTTATTTCTCCCTGTGCAGCCCAAGTAAAACAAAGGCAACTACTGTACCACTTTTACGGATCCCTATGGCAAGAAGGTTCTTTCAAGTGAATACAACTATGTTAAAATAGACCTTTTCCTACGTAACCAGCACTGTGTTAAAAATTAATGAAAGGCTTTCTGGTGATGGAGGCTATCACTGCAGCTCATCAATTCCATAATCTGACTAATTATTACTACTTGTTTTTACAGCCTTAAGGACAAAAATAAATGAAGACAAAGGGGCTAAAATGATGACATGAAGTTAACAGAGTAAATCCTAACTTAAACAGAAGAGCAGCAGTCAGAAATTTGTTCACAATTATTACACAATGATATTGATTCCAAACTACGGAAGGCTAAAATTCTAAAGCATCTCAACCAAGAAAGCTGAGTATGTTTTGTTTACCTGTATTTATTTATTTTTTAGAGACAGAGTCTCACTCTGTCACCTAGGCTGGAGTGCAGTGGGTCACTGCAGCTTTGAACGTCTGGCCTCAGGCAATCTTCCTACCTCAGCCTCCCAAGCAGCTAAGATTACAGGCAGAAGCTACTATGCCTGGCTAATTGTTTAAGTTTTATTTCTAGAGACAGGGTCTATGTTGCCCAGGCTGGTCTTAAGCTCCTAACCTCAAGTGATCTTTGTAGGTCAGACTCCCAAGAACTGGATGTTAATATAACATAATAAAAACAGTTGATCCACCGCCCAAGAAAATATTTTATAGTTGGTTTCACGCACTTGAGAAAGTCATAGGTAATGTACATAAGGTAAAAAGTAAATTTTAGAGACCAGCTCAGAAAACTCAGATTTTTTGAATGCCATATAAGTTACTATTAGAAGAAACAGAACACTCATTTAAGCGAAGCAAACCTTTCCTGAAATATTACATGTGGTCCCAGAAGAAATCTTTGTTTTTTAATTTTCAAAAACATCTTCAGCGAGAAATTTGTTTGCATATAAAACAATAAAATGTGTTCACCTGTGGCCAATAATTTCTTAGTGCCTGTGTGCTGGATAAATAGGTCAATAAGAGTACTTTTTTTTTTTTTTTTTAGACGGAGTTTTTGCTCTTGTTACCCAGGCTGGAGTGCAATGGCGCAATCTCGGCTCACCGCAACCTCTGCCTCCTGGGTTCAGGCAATTCTCCTGCCTCAGCCTCCTGAGCAGCTGGGGTTACAGGCACGCGCCACCATGCCCAGCTGATTTTTTTTGTATTTTTAGTAGAGACGGGGTTTCACCATGTTGACCAGGATGGTCTCTATCTCTTGACCTCGTGATCCACCCGCCTCGGCCTCCCAAAGTGCTGGGATTACAGGTGTGAGCCACCGCGCTCGGCCGATAAGAGTACTTTTTAAAAGGCTGAAATTTTTAAATTCTGTTTGTGGTTTATTAATAAATATTTTATAAATAATTGGAATATTCTGGATAAATATCCTACCAAGAATTAATAGCAACATGGGAGGATACTTTTTTTTTTGGCATGCTATTTAAAAAGAAAGTTGTCTCTTAGCTAAATGTGAGGCTTCATCTCATTTAGGTATATGATCTCTCTCAGAATGTTAATATGACATTACTGAGTCCACTTCAGCCCAATGGTGTCACACAACAATATATCACATGCACATACTGCTCAGCTATGAAGGAATATTCAAAAGGAGTCCCTAAAGAACAAATTATCTCTGTCCAATAATTTCTCTTGGAGTTTGGGTCCTGGCAAATAAATTTTGCTCTTAGAACGCAAAGTACGGTGTTGAGGAGATTTATAGAATTGAAAGTTTCTTACTCAGGTAGAAGAAGTTTCCCGGAAGAGAATTTTCGTTCAAGTTGTTGTAAGTCAAGTCCAGAACCTCGAGAGCTGGCAGGGAGCCGAAGCCTCGTGGCAACGTGTTCAGCCTGTTCATGCTGTTGAAAGAGACAAAAATCCACATTGCAACACCAAAGACACGTTTATACAGGCTATCAAGAACACCTCAGTTTCACAGGCTGGAAGCGTAAGAGAGTGCCATGATCCTCGAGTCACTTTATACTTTATTTTTTATTTTTCTGAGACATGGTCTTGCTCTGTTGCCCAGGCTGGAGGGCAGTGACACCATCTCAGCTCACTGCAGCCTCAACCTCCCTGGGCTCAAGCGATGCTTCCACTTCAGCCTCCCAAGTAGCTGGGACCACAGGCGCACACCATCATGCCCCACTAATATTTGTATTTTTTTTTTTTTTGCAGAGATGGGGTTTTGCCATGTTGCCCAGGCTGGACTCAAACTCCAGAGCTCGAACGATCCTCCCACCTTGGCCTCCCAGAATGCTGGGATTATAGACGTGAGCTACCATGCTCATCCTTTTTTTTTTAAATTAAAAAAAGCATTTATTTAATACTTACATTGACAAATAAAGATTGTACATATTTATGGTGTACAACATGATACTTCTGACATGTATAAGCCATTGTGGAATGGCTTAAATCACCCCTATTTAACATATGCATTGCCTCACAGGCTTGCCATTTTTTTTGTCTTTTGTGGTGAGAAGGCTTAAAATTCACTTTCTTAGCAATTTTCAAGTATACCACATATTGTTATTACGTGCAGTCACCACAATGTACATTCCATGTCTTGAACTTACTTCTCCTAACTAAAATTTTGAGTCCTTTGGCTAACATCTCCACAATTCCCCTCTCCCTGCGACCTCTGTGACCATTTTATTCCCTGTTTCCATGAGGTTCACTTTTTTACATTCCACATGTAAGGAGAGGATGGGAATTTTGTCCTATTTAGACTAATGATTTTAGTCAGAGAGCTTATACGTTCTTAAAACATTTGAAAATTGCTGATTTGTCATTTTTCTCCGATGCTGAAATTTAATCACTGTTTTACACAAAAACTCCATCATGAAATATCAAAATGTTACAAGTTTTCTTGTAAAGAAAAACTTCCTTATGAAAGTAGTGATAATATCTCAAAATATATACATGAAGCTTTGTAGTTTTCAGATTTTTGCTTTATTTCATTCATTCCTTTTAGGAGGAAAAATTATTTTTTTGTTTTACAACTGCTAACATTCAAAACTGTCTTCAATTAGAATGGTGATGGCCAGGGGCTGGAGAGAGTGGGAAATGCAGAGATACAGTTTAATGGGTATCGGGTTCAGGTTTGCAAGATGAGAAAATTCTGGAGATGGGCTGAACAACAATGTGAATACACTTAACACCACTCAACTGTATACTACAAAGACTTTGCGTTTTGTGTGTATTTTTATCACAACTGAAACATTTTTTTAATCATACAACTGACCCTTGAGCATCATGGGTTTGAACTGCCTGGGCCCGATGACACGTGGATATTTTTCTTCTGCCTGTGCCACCCGAGGCAGCAAAGAGCAACCCTCCTCTTCCTCCTCAGCCCACTCAACATGAAGATGATGAAGACCTTTAAGATGATCCCATTCCACTTCAACAACAGCAAATGCACTTTCTTTTCCTTATGACTTTCTTAATAACGTTTTCTTTTCTCTAGCTTACTTTATTGTAAGAGTGCAGTATGGAACATATGTAACACACAAAATATGTGTCAATCAACTATACATGTTTTGGGTAAGGCTTCTGGTCAACTGTAAGCTATTAGTAATTAAGTTTTTTCAGAGTCAACAGTTATGTGTGGATTTTCAACTGCAGGGGGGGTGGTCAGTGTGTGGCTCCTTAACCCACGAGTTGCTCAACGGTCAACTGTGTGTGGGGTGTGTGTGTGTGGTGCTATGCGTGTGTGCATGCGGGTGTTCTGTGTGGTATGTGGAGAGTGTGGTGCATGTGTGGTATAGTGTGCTGGTGTGGGGGGCTGTGGTGTGTGCAGTGTGTGAGGGGGGTATGGTGTGTGTGGGGGTTGCTTTTGGAGTGTGATGTGTGTGGGGGGTGTGGTGGTATATGGTATGTGTGTGGAGTGTTGGGGGTATGGATGTCGTATTGTGTGGTGTGCATATGAGGTATGGTGGGGTGTGTGTGTGTGTGTGTGTGTACACAGTGTGTGTATATGGTATTATCTGTGGTGTTGTGTGTCTATGGGAGTGTCATGTGGTGTGTAGGAGGTGTGGTGTGTGTAGTGTGGTGTGTGTGGGGGGTGTGGGGGTGTGTGCAGTGTGGTGTGGTTTGGGGGGTGTGGTGGTATGTGTGCGGTGTGTATCGGGGGTACGGGTGTGCTATGGTATGGTATGATGTGTGTATAAGGTGGGGGCTGTGGTGGGTCGGTGTGTGTACAAGGTATGTGTGTGTGGAGTGTGGAGTGTGGGGTGTGTGTGTGCGCGCATGTCTCCAAAGAAGTCTAAGGGAATGTTTTTCTATACTATCTTTTATACTTTTCTTTAAGCCCCTTATTTTTCTTAATGCAGTGCCCTTTGAGCATACTTAAAAGCCAATTTTTAAGAAAACTTTAATGAAAGTGGACAGATATTGAAAGGTGAAAGGGACTGTGACAATAAAAATCACTCTAGCCATCGATCCTTCTCATAACAGATCCAGCCCGGTCCAGCCCTACCAGGGGGGCCTCACCAGAAGTAGCTGCAGGCACAGGGCAAAACCAAAAGGGAAACGTCGGTTCCCCTCTCGGGAGAAAATATCCCAGACAGGCCACATCCAGCAAAACTACCTCCACGACTCTCTAATGCCATGACAGCAACAACCAACGTTCTCCATGAAGTCACAATTTGGGAAACACATTTATGAAGCACTTTGCTTGTTCACTCAAACTACCTTGTAATAAAGATAAGATGGAGCTTGTAATTAATGTTATGTTGAGATGAAAAAACAGCCTAGGAGAGAGGGTAAGGAGTAAAGACTTCAGAAGTGACTGAGGAAGGTGACAGGTGTCTGGGAGTACCCAGTACCTCATGGAGGCCAAAGCCATTCCAGACCCTTGGGTTCTGATGCAAGGATTCCGAAAAGAATTGCAAGTCAGAGAAAGAGAGGAAGGCAGAGAAGCACACAGTAGGTGCTTCTGTCTGCAAACACTGCTTTAGGTTACCCGTTTTTGAAAACTGCTGATTCCTTAACATTTTTCTCTGCCAATAAAGAAACACACTTTTATAATATTAGGTACAGGAAATCCATGGTTAGACAGGCTTAGAGGAAAGAGGCATCTCACCTGAGAGAGAGCTTCCATTCAATCTCCAGCCCAGAGCAAGCCTGGAGCCCCTCCACATCCTGGTGGCAAGAATCTACTTAATTACAGGTTCCTTCTTCCTTTGAGTGACAAACCACTATCTACAACATGTAAGAAACACAGCAGAGTCCCATGTGCAGCTGACAGCAGTAACAGTAGTAGGCACACCACCCTGGTGGGCAGAAAGGAAGCCCTTACTTAAACAAATGCTGAAACTTCAGAAGAACCGCTAGCAACAGCCCCAGCTACAAAGGGGACAAGAAACTGCAGAGACTTCTGGCCACCGCTCTGGACACCAGTCCATGTACATGGTGACCTGGTGGCATCTCTCTCTGCAGAATGAAGAATGGAACAAGCTGGCTGTTCCCACCTCCCCCTAGCAGGTGCTAACATCCATCTCCATCCATCCACATTTCCCCGTGTCAGAATTCCGTGCTCAGGGCCCCGCTCAGACACTGCTAGCAATCAAGGTTTCCATGAGAGTTACAGCGGGGGTAGGAAAAGAATAGAGCTTTAAAAGGTAGAGACCACTAGGGGAGGAGTCCAGCTCTAGCACTTGCTAGCTGCGTGACCTTGACCAAGTTACTCTGAGACCCAAGCTTCTCTAAAACCCAGTTTCCTCAACTGTTGGGGTCACCACCTGCAGGGGTATGTCCTGCAGACCCTGACTCAATAACGAATAAATTCACTCACACACAGAATATAGTGAATGAGGGGCCTGGGGTGTCTCAGCCACTCACAGGTACTCGAGGAGAGTGCTGTAAAGAGATAGCAACCGCTGGCCCCAACACACTGGCCTCTCCAGCCTTTATTCAGCACATATTAAATGACAGAAGCTTTGAGTCAATACCACTAGAGTGTAGAGATTAAAGGACAGGTTCCGAGGTCTAAACCAAACACCATTAGTGGATAATATTCCTGGTTGACCTCCCCCTGAAGAGAGCTATCTGGAATGATCAAAGGTTCATTTGTAGGATCACATGAGTAAACAAGTTATTCAGATAAACTTCCCCACATTTCCTAGATATTTGCTTTTCTTATCAACTAAAGGTAAAGGGAATAAAGCTGCCTTCAGCTGAAATTTCTATGGAAACTTCTTGACCTTCCAAGAAGGTTTTTGACTTTTTTCTATGACTTTCTCTAATATTTTTCCCTTAATATTTTTTGCCACCACCCTGACTGAACTCCCACATTAACTATAAAATGAGGCTGACAATACCTTCAGGGTAGGATCATTGGGAGGATGAGAGAGAAAATATGTGAAGCACCCAGCACCCAATTACACGTGGCCTCTCAGGAAATGAGAGCTGTTGCTAGGATCATTTTTGAAAATGTTTGAGAGAAAATTTTCAATCAGCCCTAAGCGAGCAAGCTCACCTCATGACAAGCCACTTTGGACGGTCCAAACTATCAAGTGTAGTTTTTGTATTTGTGCCACACTTATGTCAGGTGACTTCAGGTGTTTAAATATAAAGCTTCACAGGGCTCAACTATGCCAAGCGGTATCAATTGTTTGCATGGGAATAATTTTCAAATGTATGTTGGGAGTGGGCAAATGCCTGCATATGATGGAGAAATTTATAAAACCAGTGGGTCTAAGGCTATTTAGCATCCTTTTTCCTCTTCCTCTAAAGCCTCAGAAAGATCTGTACTAATGCCTCCTTTTCAGAGCAGTTTCTTCTCTGTAGGTTGTTCTGAGCACCTCCAGCTTCAATGAAACCTTCTTGGCTAAAGGCAAGTGACCTGGTGGCATCTCTC